CTGATGTACTCCTACTTAAAGAACCACCGCACTAGATCAGCACTGGCTCACATTCAGGATCCAGCTCTACAACCCTAAAATTCATCAAATGGGGCAGTAGAGATTTTATTAAATTACCCCTTACTGATAGAACTAAAATAAATGAATCAGTGCTTCATTTTCTCTTTCCCTAAAACCCCCCATTAGAGAAGAACCTGAAATTAAGATTAAAGCTAACATGTGAATCAGATAAACACTTCAACATAGATTATTTTAACTCCAATTATTTCCTGGGATGTTTAAATAGAACACAACGGTGTGACAATATCCATAGTTCTAAGTTGCTTCTCTGATAGGCCATCCCAAAATATGTGCTGATATTAAAGTGACAACAGCAGGTCATTGCTTCACTGACTCAAATTACAAAGCTATCCCCAAGACAAACAACATGACCTCCTGCCCAGCAGAAAGGACCTGTAACACAGGATACTATACCTGCAGAGCGTGTGTCCTCCCTGGCTGCAGCTAACCGGGTTTGTGGCCCATGCTTCATTCAAGGGCACTTCCTCCTCTGATTCCTGGACAGTGGGGGTGCTGATGTATGTAGGCCCCTATCTCTGCAGTCGTTTAGATTCAGTGACTGTTGATGCCCAACACCCCCAAAACAATACTGTCAGCTCCTGACAAAAGGGACACAAAAGTGGGTTTTCAGAGAATCCCATTTTTCTTCATCTTGCTGGCTTTTGTTGGCAGCCCCTCATCCAATTCCACACAGCTTCAGAATGCTTCACTCCAGGTCTGTCACCCAATCAACAGCACAATTTTTACATTTTTTTTTTCCAGCAAAGAAATATTTCTTGGTTTGAAGAGGTCTCCTGGCCCCAACAGTGTTCTCTACTGCCCAAGACAAGCTGAAAAAGCGGATTGAGATTCCACGTAACAACAAAGCAAATGGATAGAAGTGCACAGGAAACTTTCAGTAACACTCACTTCCTGGTAAATTACTACCACTAGGGATGAAATCTATAAGTGTTTAAAAAAGAAAAGCAGTAAGACATCAAGTATCATTCAGTATTATATTTCACAGAAGTTTTTTGACACTAAATTAATAAACAGTCACCGTCCTATGTCCTGCTGAATCACTGTCCTAGAATTCAATACCTACGAAGAGTTATAATCCTCATTCAGCTCTGAGATTCAAAATTCAGTTTCTGTCCCCTTGCCTTTAGTCATTTCAAACCACAATGCCCCGTAACCATTTGTCAACCACTTGTATTTGGAAAGTCCACAGCATTGTTTCTACAGCACATTCACTGCAATCTTTTATGCTACTCTGAAATTTGAAAGAGTCTTTACAGTTGAAAAAGTAGTGTCAACTTTTAGATCTCTCTTTGATAAAGTAAATTTCCCACAGAAACAACACTGACTGGGGGGCCAGACCACCTAGGTTCATAGTCAGTCTCCCTACTTACTATTTGCATTGTGATCTTGGGCAAGTGACTTAATTACCCTGCTGCACCTCAGTTTCCTCATTTTAAAAAAAGGGGATTCTAACTGTACCTATTACTTCAAAAGATTGTTACAAGATTACAGGCAAAGGCTCCTGGAACAGTATCTGGCACATTTAAGCACTATATAAATGTTAGCTCTTATTATTACTTTGTTTCCTTTAGCTACAAATTCTCATACTGTTTCACATGTGTACACAATGTTTGCCTACTAAAATACTACCTACTTGAAGACTGGAACCACATTTTCAGTACCTCTGACATTTCCCCTATGGTATCTAATATTCACTCAATAAGTAAATAAACCTACTCTGCACATATTGTTATACTGGATAAACAAGGAAACATAGTACCTTATAAATATATATTCTCTGCCCTCGAGTAGCCTCTATTTTAGGTGGGGAAACAAAATACGGAAAAGCTTATATAACAGTATAAAGCCATAAAAGATTAAATGCCAAAGTATGTGGCATAAACATCTAACATTCAAAGGGCTTATTGTGGGCTGCAGATTCTGTGGAGAAGGTAAAGCTGGAGTGGCCCGGCCCCTAAACTGAAGTGGGATCTTCAGTAGTGAAAAGAAAAGAGGATTCCGATGTATTTTTGTTCATTCCACAAATAGTCACTGCATACCTTCCATATGCCAGGCTGTGTTCCAGGTTCTGGAGCTACGGCAATGAGGGACAGAAAAGATCCCTGCACTCTGGAGCTTTAAAGGGCACTCCACGTGATAGCCAAGTTTTGAAGGAATGAGAAGAGCTTGTCTTCCAAAACGATGAAACCACACTGCTTAAATGCCTTACAAACAGGAGCCAATGCTGGCATTAGGGTCGCTCTGACTTTCCAACGACGACAAACATACAGAAATGGCTGATGTGAAAAAATTCAGTAACTTTCATGTACTGTATTCTAAATGTTCCACTGTTTATAAAACACATCAAAGGGATATTCTCCATATTTCTGGATACAAATAACATACAAGAGATTTTAAACACAAAGAGTTAATACTACCAGAATGTTTCCATAACAGAGGCCATTGGAGGCCCAGTTCCTAAATTTTGCCCAAATGAAAAGCCTTATATTAATGCTTTGCTGTATACCCTTGAGCTTTGTCTCCACCCCCAGTCTACCCCCTGCCTTTCTTTACTTGATCTACTAGCAGCTGCCCACAAATATCAAATATCTACTAGGAAAGTGCCTGAAGATGCATGTGGTGACAAGATGACAAGAATCAGTTAGTCACGATGAGTGGAAATATTAACTCCAAAAGAAAATATGTGCATTTTTTTCTTCTTATATCCTTCCACTGAAGACAGCTCTCCACTTATCCCCTCCCCAAAGAAAAGGCCTGGAGGTAAAGGAGCCCTCTTATAAATACTGACTGGCAAAACATTCCCAATCTCTTCCTCTCCAACGATGGGCCACTAGAATCAGGAGACAGGTTAAATCCAATATGCTCTCATCACAAATAAGACACATTTCCAAGCACCTCCCCTGTCCTCTCCAGTCCTTTTCAACTACTTCTACTCTCACAAGATGCAAACTGTTAGACCTCACTATCATTCTCATCATTGTTATGCCTATACAAATCATTACATTGTATTTTTGGAAACAGTCAAACTTCTTGATTAAGGAAGTCAAAACTACTCAACTAAATACAATAAAAAATGTTAACTTCTTAATGCACAAAATACTGGACTCCAAACTGCTTATGATACTTAGAGGCAAAATGAAAAATTAGGTAGAGACCCTACAATGCAGATAATCTAACATTCTTCATATACCCACGAATGTTAGACTCATCAACAAAGTAATAACCAACCAGCTGATTTTTATTTCCTTGGTCTGGTATTGGAGAATTACCCTTCCTGTTTCATTGTCATTTGTCAACCCCTAATTAGGAATGCCACTTAGAAAAAATATGGTAGGAGGGAGCCTTTCAGAAGGGCCATTATGGCTTCCCCAACAGTCACCTTCTTCCAATGTCCAAGAATAGCCTGTTTATTGGATGATGATGGCGTGTTATGGGAACTTGGATAAATGAAACACAGTGCTTTAGAAACTATTGAATCCCCAAATAAAGAGACTACTTGCAGTTCTATGCAATTTTAAAGCCATCTTCCAACTTGAAAAATATATTAATTTACTCAATGAGTCACTTTATATTGCCAACACCCTTTTTCACAAAAGCAAAAACAGAAGTAATTAATGTACATACTCCACATTTGGACCTATTCAAAGCAAACCCATGTATTCAAAAATTTTTGAGCAACCTATGCTTATGCAAAAGTTACCCCAGAAGATTAAATGAGATAAAGCATGTACCATTTGGCACAGGCCTTGCAAACCGTCAGTACTCAACACTACCCATTATTGTTCCTAATTCTTCCAACGTCAGTCAAACATATATATATAAGGCAATATATGATAATGTATATATAATGCATAAAAACTAACATGCATTAATACTGTAAATAAAGCTAGTACCTTATTGTACCAAGTAAAGCTCTTCAGACAAAGGTGAGCTTAATTGTAACAGAAAGAGCCACAAAAAAGGTAGAGAAAACTTGCTAAGGGATTTGGGCTAAATGTTAGCTCTTACCTCTGCTTACTAAGTCTACAACTTCTACAAGGTCTAAGACGAATTATACTTAGCAGTCAGCTGACCCTAGAGAACTAGCTCAACATAAACAGCTAAGACCTCAAGCATGTGGACAAGTGACCATTTACTCGCAAGGCTGCTACCAACTGCTGAAATCTGATTACTTCAATACTGATGCTGAAATCCTGCATAAATTCATTACCTGTCTTATGCTAGAAAATATATTTTTCAAGTCCCTATGCACAACTTTTTTTTTTAAGACACAAAAATCATTTCAACTGACAATATTGCAGCATCCTGGGGACATCCAGTTTTTAAAACACCTCAACAGTCTCAGCCACGCATCATTCATTATGACAGGGGAAATGGAAAGACAGTTTGGAGAGCATACGCTTTCTTAGGTATCAAAGTAAATATTAAAAGTAACTCTAGGTCCTCATTACGAAAAACAATCTTCGTGTTTCCCAGCTTACTCCCGATTCGTGGGACAATGCACATTCTCCCCCTCCCACGCTTTGAGTCACGCCCGGGCGCGCCGAAGTGGGGCGGGAAGAAGCACGGAACTCCCGGGCAATGACCTGTCCCCGCTACTTCTCGCCCGGTTTGGGCACACCACAGCTACACCCACGTGGACTTCCAGGCGGGGGCGGCGAGACCCACGGCCATCACCAGCGCCCGGCGCCGCGGGCCCGCCCAGCCCTCCCGCGAGGGCTCCGGGCTCGGGGCCGGGGGCTCGCGGAGGGCGGGGGGGGGGGGCACGGCGGTGACGCGCCGCGGGGGGAGGGGAAGGGAGCCCGGCTCCACTCACGCGCCCGGGGGCGGCACCGGAGCCGTCGCTGCGTCGCTCCCGTTCAAAAACTGAAAAGGGGGGCGGGGGGAAAGACCTGGCTCCTCGTTTTATCCGGAAACCGGCGGGCCGGCAGGAAATGACGAAGGCAGAGGTCGTCCAGGTCCGTTCGGTAACCGGGTCCCGCGCGTCCGGCCCCGACTCGGGGGGGAAAGAGCCCCGAGCGGAGTAGCCTGGCCGCGTGCCGCCTCCGGAGCCAGCAGCGTGAGTGGACCCGCGTCTCCGCGCCTCCCGGGCCCGAGGCGGGGCCGCGTCACCGGCCCCGCCCCCCCGCCCGCGCGCCGCCCCGCCCCGCCGGGGCCTCGCGGGGGAGGGGAGGGACCGCTGCCCGCCGCGCGCCCCCAGCCCCGGCCTCTGAGGCTCCTGCACGTGCAGCCCGTGCTCCGCGCCTCTCGGGGTCGTAAGGAATAGTAGGGCTCCGAGTGCCAGAGATGCAGACAACACACCGAAGCAGCCGCGTGGCAACGCGAGCAGGGGTGGGGGCGAGACGGCCCCGGGGCGGCTGGAGTGTAGCGCGAGTGTTTTTAAGGTTCCGCAGGTGATTCCGCAGCCTGCGAGCGGCGGAAACGCAAAAGATGTCCCAGCAGCTCTGGAGGCTTACTGTAGTCACTTACCGGGAGGGGCTTATGTTTTATACCCGCGCGACTGGATTTCTTTCCGGGAGGAGCGGGTGTCCCAGAACCGGGGTCACGACTGGGAAGGGTTCAGGTTTGGGAGTCAGTCACATATGACAACCCTAGCCTGTGCAACTTTGGGCAAGTTACATAACCACCACTACCACCTTCCCGGTTTCTTCTGTAAAATGGAATTCAGTGCCTCCCAGCAGGGTGGTTACAAAAATTAAGTATGTGGACTGCCCTACTCATAAACCCACAAATTGCCGTCTTCCTCATGGTTGAAGGCCTGTTACCTTGTACCCTTCTGCTTTAGGAACCCGAACCTTCAGTGTTTCAGAGGACAGAGAAAGAAAATTACATTTATTCACTGGATTGTGTTGTAAGGAACTGTATAAGTGATTCTAATCTGAATTTGTATTAAGATAGCAAAGGTCTAAGAGACAAAAATGATAATATTTAAGGCATAATGACAAGTGATACTCAATTTTAGAACCACCTAGACATGGTATCAGGAACCTAAAATCAGGAAACTGATTTTAAAACTTAAGATATAGTCACTTGATCCCTGGAAAATTTTCTCCTAGTTCTCAACCTAAAAGTTTATCAAATTAAACCAAGCCCTAATTGCCATATTATGGGAACTCTGTCTCTGGATACTAATGTTTTAGTTGGGTCTTAATTCAGCTCCTTACTGAAATGGTTCAGGCATTAGTGTCCAGGAAAAATATGTGAAAAATGTTCAGTTTTCTCAAAAGAGCCCTGAATGACGATCCAAGCACATGGCTAGCTACGTTAGTGATCTTGCTGAAGCATTAACTTGCCAGGAATGAACCATTGTAATGCCCCTGGGCATTTTGCTTTAGAAGAAGGCTGTGGTGGTATGAAGTAACTGCTTAGCAAGTGTGTATGTGACACTTGGTTAGACTGTAGCGTGCTAGGTGACGGTCAGAGTTCAGGCCACATGTGGGCCATGGGTCTGTACTATGACTCTGGACAAGGCCATTCCTTATTCCTGGCAGTCTAGCAAAGTCATGCCATTGGTCATGATGGAGGACTGGGCAGGAAAGGCCTACCCTCGGTGCAAATCTTTCACAACTACAGTACTAAAAATAATTCAAGTGCGTGTCCCTGGAACTGTGGGATGGTAGTGTCATTGCATACCAATGATGTTGTATAATACATGTTGTTTAATTCATGTTAAAATTTTACCATTCTGGGTCACTGGTAATTCAAAATCCTTCTCTAAATACAATTCAAGATTGGCATATTTGTAGCAGGATGAAGACAAGCCCTGTAGGAATATCCCTCTTTTTAAGTGGCCCATGAACAGAATTTTGTGAGAAATTGAAGCGAGAAATTAACCTGGCTCAGATCCATTCAGGTATTAGAAAACAAGTAGGAAACACTTCCGTGATTTGTCAGGTAAAGGACACCTGCAAAATGTTCTAGTGGCCATTGCTGTATGTTCCCTGTTTCTTCCTGAGTTTAATAGCTCCCAATCCTGAAACCTACCACCCTTGTGGCATAATCGTCAGTGTCCTTCTGCAGCATCTCAAATCAGACATCCAAAGTCATCTCTCTTTGCCAAAAACACATTCGTTGTTATTTTCAGCATGAGTAAAATTCTAGATTCCATAAATCATAAAGACAATTATAATGTCTTGTCCAAAAGTTTCCATTTCTAAAATAGGCTGATTACTTACTATGAATCATAATGTTACTTTCAGAGAAACTCGAGCTCAGTTTTAAGGAATAAGAATTAAAACTGTGAATATACCAAATCTCCCTGTGTCTCCCACTCTCTCTTTTTTTTTTTTTTTTTTGCGAGAGAGAGAATGAGAGACAGAGAGCATGAGAGGGAAGAGAGTCAGAGGGAGAAGCAGACTCCCTGCCGAGCAGGGAGCCCGATGTGGGACTCGATCCCGGGACTCCAGGATCATGACCCGAGCCGAAGGCAGTCACTTAACCAACTGAGCCACCCAGGTGCCCTTTTTAATTTTTTTAATTTTTATTTTTTTTATTTATTTGTCCCACTCTCTTAAAAAAAAAAAAAAAAAGAAAATCCGTAGCCAGTCTTTAATATCAAGGAATTGGGTATGGTGTGATGTTTAAATAATATTTAGATCTTGCATGTATAAATTTTTATGATTTAAAGTAAATTCTGTTTTTATTATTACTTGGCTAATTTTTTTACAAGACCAATCTTTATATTCATCGGACACCAATAGGTCTTTTAAAAAGATCACTCTTGACCTCAGTGTCTAGAGTTTAAGTTAAATGATCATTCATGATACTCACTTTATCGTAAATGAATACAATATGTCCCCAAACATCTGACAAAAACTTCAGATGTCAGAACAGGGAAAACATGCCACCTGGCTTAGGAGCAAACTTACGGGAGAATTTTATTCATTTTATGCAGAGGTAAGCTATAAGAAAGCAAACAGACACTGCCCTTAATGTACAGTTACTAACTTACTAAGCCAGATCTACATTACAGAACATTTTGGAGGCTTACAGGAGATTGGAAGATATCTTAGTGCAAGAATGTCTGCAATGCCTTCATTGTTGTAGGATGTCTAGAGAAAAATTGCAAAACAATTTCTTGGACATTTCAGATACTTTTTCTTGGAATTAGAAAATGTCTTATTTCTAGAAGCTACAGTACATTGATCACCTATCACTTGTTCAGTTTTTCTCCTCCTCCTTATAGAATGTCTAAAAAAATGCTTTTGGTTTTCTTTCACATATTAGGTCATTTTACTTATCAGACTTACCTTGTATGTCCAACAGAAGGGAGGAACTTTCTCTTCAAGGAAAAATTCAACTAACTCCAAACACAAAGAGGAAACAATTACTCTTTTACTTGCTATTTGATACACTTGCTTTTACCACTCTTATTTTCTGTGGGAATGTCCAAAGAATGCGTTTCCTTGAATAGAAGTCACAGCTGTGTAAATAGCAAAAAGTAACTTTTTATCCCATAGCTTCTTTCAAGCACATTTGGCCAGGAGGCCAAAACTAGATAAAGCTCTGAACGTTTTCCACTTGCCGGGGAGGCTAGTGGAAGAGCATTGCGATGGCTGTCTCATCTTTTCTAGGCTACGGTCATGAGCACAACACAATTTTTTGATATCACAGCCTGTTGTTTGGGTCTGTGTTTTCAAATATTTGGGTGCTTTCATTTGGGTGATAGCTACAGTTCAGAAACTGGGCAATAACATTTCAACCATATATCCTTTCTGTTATCTTTTTGTAATAGGATTTTTAAACTCCAGTTTTCACCTTCATGCAGAAGATAAAATGTTTCCAAATCAAAAATAAGGGGAAATATGTTAAACACCCTAGTCATCTAGACCAGGAGTTGGCAAACTTCTTCTTAAAGGGCCAGATTGTAAATATTTTCGGCTTTGAGGGCTGGGAAGCAAAAAGCAAGGATATTGTACAGGTACCTACAGCCATTTAAAATGTGTCTGATTAGAAATGTAACACCATTCCTAGCCCCTGGGCCATCCAAACACAGGCAGCAGGCTGGAGTTGGCCAGTAGGCCATATGCTTGCCAGCCCTTCTGCAGAGACGGTCGTACTACCACTAACTAAGAGAAACCCTGCTCTCTTCTCTTTCTTCCAGCCCCATGCCTGGAGGTTACGGGGTGATGGCTGACGATGGCTCTATGGATTATAGCGTTCATGAGGCCTGGAACGAAGCCACCAATGTTTACCTGGTAGTGATCCTTGTTAGCTTTGTTCTCTTCATGTATGCCAAGAGGTAAAGTTTTTAGTATTTCAAAAGTTGACACGTTTGTTTGTTTGTTTGTTTGTTCCGAATTAAATGCACACAAATAATTTCATAAGCATTTTTGTTCCTGCTAGGAAAGCACTGTCTCCTCAGGTCTGTTCTCGAGCCCTGGATGCCAGTTTGGCTTTGAAGAGCCCATTGCTTTAAGAGCTAGAGATTTAAGTGCAGCTCTGGGCACCCTGACTGGCTTTGCCTTCCCATTCTATCATTTCTAATACAGCTCAGTTTGGTCATCCAGCCTGGGTTCACTGTCACTCTTGGATGAGCATATTTCTTTGGCCTGTGTCCCTGAAATGCAGAAACCCTAATCCCTATGTCTTTAGCAATTCTCTCTTCACACATTTTAAGTTTTCCCTTTTGATTCTTGGACACAACCGTATCATAGCACTTACTGAATAATAATGGTATTATCTGACGACTTGTCTGTCTGTTCCACAAAAACTCCAGTCCCTTCAGAACAAGGACTTTGACCCTTAACCTTTGTGTCCCTGGTGTGCCACATAGGGTAAATCCTCAATAAATATTTCCTGCTCTAATTCCAGATGTTGTAGCATATTTTATTCTTTTCCATACTTCCTGGCTCCTTTCTTTTAAATATATATATAGAGAGAGGTGGGTGCTTTGAGGAGGAAAAACGGTATTAGTTGGACCAAGTCGCCTCTCCGTATAGCCACATGCTTCTTGGTATTCTCTACCAAGGTTAGAAAAGCATTACATAGATCAGAGTAATTAGTAATTGAGAAATAATTGATGTTTGCCTGGGGAGCACCTGCTCTCAGACAGGCAGGTTTGCCCTTCTAGGCCGCATGAGCCCCAGAGCAGCTGGCCCATTGGCAGCCTGGCCTCAGGAGCAGCTGAGAGAAGGCTCCACAGGTAACAGCTTTCCTCCAAAAACAGCCCCCACCTCCTCCCCACCATCCTGTTTTAAAAACAGAGAGACACTGTTGTTGATTTTAAGTAGATGGACCCACTAAGGCCATGCTATTGTATTTAAGAAATGTGGTGATTCATTATTTTCCAAAATGAAGGTCCACTCGCATTCTGTTTATTCTCTAACCCAGTAATTTAGCTTTATTTGGATGACACCAGAGGGAGGAGAAAAAGAAGATGTTTTCTAGTTGGTGCATTTTGCCATATAAGACTTTTGGAGGGGGCAGGAGTGGAAGTACAGCGGTTTTTGGAGGGGGCAGGAGTGGAAGCACAGCCGTTTTTGGAGGGGGACAGGAGTGGAAGCACAGCAGAGGTACGTCACTTTGCTGTATGAAGTGGCTGTGCTCAGCTTTCTTCACTTTCTTCGAGCCCTGTGGCCGTACACAGACAGCTTCATACTTTTTAGTGAAGGGAAGAACACTTGAGCCAAGGAAGCATCCAACAGAGACAAAAGAGAAGATGAGCTCGTTGTTACTTAAGTCCTTTTAATGTAGCTTCTGATTACTATGGTCCTGAGTCCAGTACGGTCCTGTAGCTATTAATATAAATCTCCCTTACATATTGGTTTTATGTTTTAGGAATAAAAGAAAAATTATGAGGATATTCAGTGTGCCACCTACAGCAGAAACTTTATCAGAGCCCAGCTTTTATGACACAATAAGCAAAATCCGTTTAAGACAGCAACTGGAAATGTATTCCATTTGTAAGTATATTCTGTGTTGAATGGAGGCATGTTTAAAATAGATTTTTTGGAATTGAGTTCGATTAGCAAACGGTTATCAGAAATAATTCGTAATGAAAACATAATGCCCTTTTTAGATGCTCAGCACAGTATTAGCAAAGGCAGATCTGCTGTGAAGTTGAAGCTTCCGGACCCTTTGCTTGTACGGGGCCCTTCCAGGACCCTGAGAACAGCCCTAGAAATGTGCTCATATGATGATATTTTTCTAAATTTTGCACAATTTCAATATTTTAACCATCAGTTAAGATTGCTGTCTCTTCTAATTTGCCCTCTTCTGCACATCCCTTCATGTGGAGTAGCATTGAAGTGACTAAGAGCATTTGGGGATCTGGCTGAGGTTGAGTTGGAGCTGCATTTAGTTTGGGTTTGAATTTTGTATTTATGGAGTTTGCAGTCATTTCTATTATAACTAAATTACTGCAAGCCAAAGCAAAATAAGAACGACTTCCAGGGGCACCTGGGTGGCTCAGACTGTTAAGCATCCCACTCTTGATCTCAGCTCAGGTCTTGATCTCAGGATCGTGAGTTCAAGCCTTGCCTTGCGCTCCATGCTAGGCATGAAGCCTACTTACCTGGCAGGGGAGATACCATGATCACGAAGGTGGTTTTCCCAGGGTGAGGCTTATCCATTGCACTCCGGATGTGCTGACCTCTGCAATTTCCCCAAATGTGGGAAACTCGACTGCATAATTTGTGGTAGTGGGGGACTGCATTCGCACTTTCCCCTGTTTAAAAAAAAAAAAAAAGCCTACTTAAAAAACAAACAAACAAACGAACGAAAAACCCAACAGCTTTCAGGAATATGGCATGCGATATCAATGTGCAAGGCCAGAGTTCATGTCTCAATATTAATATGTCATATAGTACTGAACACTATGAGTATGTATGTCAGGGAAAAGAAATAAAGTTTAAAATGTATGGAGCCAGAATGAATTGTACATCTAAGCCACAGCCTTTTATGCCACCATTTAAAAGAATGAGTTGTGGTTGGGCACCTAGGTGGCTCAGTCGGATAAGTGTCTGCCTTCAGCTCAGGTCATTCTCAGGGTTCTGGGACTGGTCCCACATCGGGCTCCCTGCTCCCTGCTTCTCCCTCTCCCTCTGCCTCTTTCCCTGCTCATGCGTGTTCTCTCTCAAATAAATAAATAAAAATCTTTCTAAAAAATTAAAAATTAAAAAAAAAAAAGAATGAGTTGTGGTTTCCAAGGTGTATTATTAAGTGAGAAGAACAAGATAAAATAGTATATATACCAGGATGCTACTCTTATAAAATCGAATGACCAAAATATCCGTTGTGTTATCTATGTGTAATATAAATGTTCTATATAATTATGCAAGCATGGAGGAAGGCTTGGAAAGATATGCATCAGATTATTAACATTCATTACCTTGATGGGATTGTGTGGGATTTAAGGGGAAAAGACTGGACATTTTTTAAAGATGTCTACAGTAAAAACTCAGGTGTGTGTGTGCATAGAAAGAAGCAAGAGGGGGATGGGGGGATGGGTTAGCCCAGTGATGGGTATTAAGGAGGGCACATACTGCATGGAGCACTGGGTGTTATACGAAAACAGTGAATCGTGGATCACTACATCAAAAACTAATGATGTATGATGACTAACATAACATAATAAAATTAAATTAAAAAAAAAAGAAGCAAGAAAGGATGATCACCGAGATATCACTAGTATATGTCTTGGGTGGAATAGAATTTCAGGTGAAAAATAGAAAAGTGTGTGTGTGTGTCTGTGTGTGGGTATACACATGAACACATATGTGTGTATATATATATATATACACACACACACACATGCATAAACACAAGTAGAACCTCTAAAGTCTTAAGCACAAATTTTATCTTAACTAGTGAGAGCAGTTCCTTTAGGGGAAGGAAGTGGGTGGGTAGCTGCAGGATTGATCAGGTAGGAGGAAGATACACTTTTTACTGCTTCCTCTTTGTTCCTTTTGCATTTTGTACCATCTGCATATGTTACCAGTTCAAAATAAGAAGTAAAATTTAACATAGCAGCATTATTCACAATAGCCAAAAGGCGGAAACAACCCAAGTGTCCTTGACAGATACACAAAATGTGGTAGAGAAATACAATAGGATGTTATTCAGTCTTTAGGAGGAAGGAAATTCTGACACATGCTACAGCACAGATGAACCCGAGGACATTATGCTTCATAATTATTCTTATGAAGGCAAATAAACCAGTCACAAAAGAACACATATTTTACTTATAGGAGGCAAATTCGCAGAGACAGAAAGTAGAATGATGGTTGCCAGAGGGAGTGGGGAGTGATTGTTTAATAGGTGTGGAGTTCAGTTTGGGATGATCGGAAGAGCTCTGTGGATGGAGGATGTGAGGGTTGCAAAGCACTATGAACTGTGCCCTGAGAAATAGTTAAAATGGCAATATTTGTGTATACTTTACCACGATAAAAAAAGTTCTTTAAAAAAACTTAAATACTAAAAAAGTACAGAGCCAGAAGTTCTATATGGAAAATTATAAAGAATTAAGTTTCCATGGATGCCCAGTCAAAACAAAGCTATTTCCTATCAGTAATACACTCAGTAACATAAATATACTATTACAAACCAAGTGTACAGGTTTTTTTCTTCTTTGATGGCAATGCCATAAAATATATCATTTTTATCAGATTTCCTGTGTTTGTAAGGTGTGTTGATTTGCTACTGCTGCTGTAACAAGTTACTACAAATCTTGTGGCTTAAAACAACGCAAATGTACGATCTTACAGTTTTGTAGCGGAAAAGTCCTACAACAGTCTGAAACCAAGGTGTCAGTAGGGTACTCTTTCTGGAGGTTCTAGAAGAGAGTCTGTAACTTTGCCTTTTCCAGCTTCTAGAGGCCACCACATTGCTTGGTTTATGGCCCTCTGCCTCCATCTTGGGAGCCAGCAGCATTTAATCTTTCTGATCATTCTTCCTTTTTTATTTTTTAGTCTTTCTCTGCACTAAGGAAAGGGTCTCTGATTTTTAAGGCCCATGTGTTTAGGTTGGGCCAGATAATATAGGGTAATCTCCCCCTCGCAAGATCCTTACCTTAATCACATCTTCAAAGTCCTGTTTGTCCTGTTAAGTAACATATTCACAGATGTTGGGGACTAGGATGCAAACATCTTTAGAAGCCATTTTTCTTATAAATAGTATATGTGTGGACTTGCACCTTTAATGAATCCCATCACATTGGATCATTCTTAGTGTTTGTGACCTATATAGTCCTGACAGTCTGGCGGTTCAAGAGGAAATAACAAAATTCTTTTTCTTAAAGAGGACTCCCAAAATTGTATAAACTTTAGGCCACAAAAATTTGGATGCACCCTGAGTAGCATAAATAAATAGTATCTCTTTCTTGGCTAGTTAAAACTTAAAGAACAGAGTGAAAGTTTTAACTCTAGGCAAGGAATGATATTCACAAAGATTTTAACTCCATACTTTCTCTAGTTGCAGGTTAAAACCATTCTTCTTCAATAAACATTTCTCAGAAGTACAAAAAAAATACAGAATGAGTATCTGTTTTTCTTCTAGTTTATATCACTGACAATGTTCAATAATAAGTCTCTTAGACTTAAAAGTTGAAATACAAATTCCTTATGATGCGGACAAAAGCATTACTACTAACTTATCTTAAGGTGGATGTGGGAGATAAGAAAGAAGGAAATTATAAAATGTTAATTTAACTTGGGGCGCCTGGATGGCTCAGTCGCTAAGCATCTGACTTGATTTTGCCTCAGGTCATGATCTCAGGGTTGTGAGATCAAGCCCCGCATCCAGCTCCACGCTCAGCGCAGAGTCTGCTTGTCCCTCTCCCTCTGCTCCTCCCCCCTCCCTCCCCCAACTCGTGCACACATGCTCTCTCTCAAATAAATAAACAAGTAAAATCTTTTTAAAAAATATTAATTAACTTTAATAGCTTAATTAATGGTTGCCTTATAGTTTAAAGCTCTGAATAATCCTGATATACAAATAATAATAATAAAGTAAATATATAAAAATGGATATCAGCAGTGTTGAGAAATTAAGGATTACAAAGTATAATAAATTTCCTCTAATGAAAAAAAAAAATTTAATTCTAAGCTAATTCTTTACTGAGAATCATGACTTGACTGCAATTTAATGATGTTAGCTAATAATTATTTTGCTATTTTTATTAATTTTATCTCTTTCTTTTGTTGTGTTTTGTTTTGTTTTTTAATAGCAAGGAAGTATGACTATCAACAGCCACAAAACCAAGCTGACAGTGTGCAACTCTCGTTGGAATAAAATCACAGAAAATGAACAACATTAAGTAATGGTTCAGCAGTGTGGTAGTAAGCTCCTAAATATACTAAATCCATGAACAGCATTTTCTTTTTAAACCCTATGTCCCTAAAATCATTTTACTTGTCATTTTTCCCAGTTTTTTGTTTTGTTTTGCTTTTTAAAATTACATCTCCAAGTCATTTATTATACAAAAAAAAAGGGGGGGGGGAGCAGTCAAAATACCTGGACTCAGAGAGTCTGCACATACTTAGAAAGATAGAATATAACCAGAGATGGTGATTTTACCTTGTGAAGACCTTTGATTTCTTCAGGATACAATCAGTCAGGAATAAAAATACATCTTTGGAAGTGAGACTCTGGAGATTATGCCACTTTGGTTTAAACATTTTTGCAAAATTAAAAAGTAAAAATCCTGAGGCACCTGGGTGGCTCAGTCGTTAAGCGTCTGCCTTCGGCTCAGGTCTTGATCCCAGAGTCCTGGGATCGAGCCCCACATCGGGCTCCCTGCTCCGCGGAAAGCCTGCTTCTCCCTCTCCCACTCCCCCTGCTTGTGTTCCCTCTCTCACTGTGTCTCTGTCAAATAAATAAATAAAATCTTAAAAAAAAAAAAAAAGTAAAAATTCCATCATTGGAAGAACATAATCCTCTTCAGTTGTATTCTGTGATGAATGTAATATGGATAGTGGACGGATTTGTGTTCTCCCTGCTGTCGTCACTGCACTTTAATTGAATTAATGATCTTTGCTTCTTCCGAACTTGCACAGGAGACTGTCTTTTCTACTCTCTTTATGAAGCATGCCCATCTGCTAATTGTGGAAGCTTTCTGTGATTGGAATGTTTTCCCTTCATTGTGTTCCCAGGAGTTTGTTTGCTTTTTTTTTTTTTAATCCCACAGTTTCATTCCCACCAGAACAGTCTTCTTTGGACCATGCTAGAGCCATGCTGGAACCATGCTGCTGAATAAATGGGCACCTCTCTACTAGTGTTGGCAACTTGCTTTTTTGGTTATGTAACTCTCGTTTAATGTGACTGTCTGGTTACTTACACTTTTCTAGCATAATAAACTTCCCTGAAGACTCTCATATCTTGTACCGTACATTGAAATGTTTTTACCTAATTTTTCATATTTATTTAAATAAAAGTTGGTGGAAGGTAGCGGCAGGGAAATTTACCTGTCCACATCACTGTCCAAGAATTAGTTTTTGAATCAAAGCTATTCTTAATTTTAAGAGTTAGAGTTAGGGGCGCCTGGGTGGCTCAGTCGGTTAAGCGTCTGCCTTCGGCTCAGGTCATGATCCCAAGGTCCTGGGATCGAGCCCTGCATCAGGCTCCCTGCTCAGCGGCGAGTCTGCTTCTCCCTCTCCCAGTCCCCCTGCTTGTGTTCCCTTTTTTGCTGCGTGTCTCTCTGTCAAATAAATAAAAAATAAAATCTTTAAAAAAAAAGTTAATATTTCAAGGATTATTTCCTTTTCCCTTTATAATTGTGAAGTAAAGAACATAAATTTTAAATGGAAAGGTTTAGACCAAATAAAATTATTGAGGGAAATTACATTTGCTTTTAATTTAATTATATTATTCAAAAATGTCTTTCTTGTACAAGGTGAATTGTTGACTAAATGGAATAACTTTCTTGACTCACAGAAGAGTCTGAATGCACTACCAATACACAGAATGAAAAACTGACTTTAGGACGTAAACAGTTATAATTACAGGCAGGGGGTCGTAGGGCAGCAAGGGGGCAATCTTCTTAACCTCTGCTTTGCTCTTAGGAAAGCCACTTTATATGTCTTTGAGCAGAAAATGTAATCAGGAGCAGTTTCCTTGTATCACTGACATGTTGCACAATCTGGACAAATTACAAAACTGGCCATCTCAGATGATTTGTAAAAATAGTGTACATAAATAAATGTAAATCCCAAAGAAATTGACTGCGGTTGTTGTTGATCTGCACCCACTAGATAGAGACAGTCAGAACCAAAAGCTGGTAGATCGTTCGGTGAGCATCAAACCTTGGCAAGGAAGAGGATGAATTCCTCCTCATCTTTTCTCTAAAGCCAACTGATGGGAATCACCCCCCACCCCCGGCAGGAACAACAGCAAGTCCGCCTTTGAAGTTGCTGCCCTGCTTCAACAGCTGAGCTGGGAAAGGGCTGGAAGCCCTGCAGCCACACTTCAAAGCCCACACCAGCTGATTGTTCCACCTCTTCCCCACCCCGCCCATCCAAGGGTTCAGTGGAACTATTTTCTTTGGAAGAAAACTGGAATGACTAATAAACCGGTAACTAACACTTGTGTTCTCCTTTTCCTCGTTTCTTCTCTTGTTAACGCAGATCTTCAGCAGTAAGCACTGGTCAGCCTCGCTGTGGGCGCACAGCTCCATCGCGGTAAATCAGTGGGCGTTTAGCTAACGCCAGCTGGCTGCCCTAAGGGAAGACGTGAGCCTCCAGAGGGCACAGGTGTTTGCTATTGACCTATTCAGGTGGAATTATTTAAGATTCATAAATGAAATGCAGAGTTGAATTGCTGTAATGTCAGAACTATTTTAAGGATGGAGGAGAAATAGATAAAATTACCATAATAGAAGTCATTTCCATGATTAAGATGAGAATACATTTAACTTAGAAAATATAATTAAAGGGGGGAGGGACAAAAGTATATTCTATGGAGCCAAGTCCTTAGTTCAACAAGCAGTTGTGGTGTATAGACTGTGCTAGCTGCTTGTGATCTTCTAGAGGCTATGCTAGTCTAGTAGAATCAGAACAGGAATAGGGGCCGAAAAACCAAAAGGAAATAGAAAGGACACTTGGCTCACCTCCAGCCTATGTAAAACTGTGAGGATCCCAGAGTGGGAACTCGAGCTTAGTCTTTTTTTTTTTTTTAAGATTTTTTATTTATTTGCGAGAGAGACAATGAGAGACAGAGAGTATGAGAGGGAGGAGGGTCAGAGGGAGAAGCAGACTCCCTGCTGAGCAGGGAACCCGATGTGGGACTCGATCCCAGGACTCCAGGATCATGACCTGAGCCGAAGGCAGTCGCTTAACCAACTGAGCCACCCAGGCGCCCCTCGAGCTTAGTCTTAAATCTGTTTCCCGGTGGATCCCCCCACCCCCCGCCCCACTAAAGCCAGAGCCGAACCTATACAAAACTATAAAGCAAGAAAATTTTCCTACCCCTCTTCTTGTCCCTCTTCAGCCTCCTGCAAGTCTATGCACAGCACAGTCTTGAATGAGGATGTGAGAGTAAGGATGAGGCAAGAGGCTCCAGAACCAAGGGGGTAAGCCCTACGAACTCCTGAGGTCATGTGGAAACTCAGCAGCAGCTCATCCTCCTGTTCTTGACCTCTCACCCCAAAATAAATGAGGAGCATTTAGCATCGGATTTCATACTGACGTATTCTCCACCTTTATTTTATTCAGATATAGTAAAAAACGAAAGCTGATTATATAGATTAGTAACATCCCACATTCTAGGTAGGAAGGGGAGATAAATCCAAGGGAGGCTGCTCACTGTCCAGGCTTATGGGTAGTAGTCTAGCCCCCAATTTGATGCTGAGGGCCCTCTGTGTTGTTCACTTTTATTTTTGATGTTTCTAGTTTCGAAGGTCAGAGGTTTCGCTGTGAGGAAAGAGTGGCTCCACCACAGGGATTTTTATGAAAAACATTTTGACACATTTCAAACTAGCTGAAGAAAGTTGGGTTTTGTTTTGTTTTGTTTTGTTTTGTTTTTTTCCTAGTTTCAGGGGTAGAATTTAGTGATTTATCAGTTGCATATAACACCCAGTGCTCATTCTATCAAGTGCCCTCCTTAATGCCCATCACCAATTATCTCTACCCCCCCACCCAACTCCTCTCCAGCAACCCTCAGTTTGTTTCCTGTAGTTAAAAGTTTCTTATGGTCTGCCCTACAAATCAAAACCACAATGAGGTATCACCTCACATGGTCAGAATGGATAAAATTAACAACTCAGAAAACAACAGATGGTGAGGATGTAGAGAAAGGGGAACTCTCTTACACTGTTGGTGGGAATGCAAGATGGTGCAGCCACTCTGGAAAACAGTATGGAAACTCCTCAAAAAGTTAAAAACAGAGCTACCCTACGACCCAGCAATGGCACTACTAGGTATTCATCCAAAGGATACAAACACAGTGATTCAAAGGGACACCTGCACCCCAATTGTTTATAGCAGCAATGTCCACAATAGCCTAGCTATGGAAAGAGCCCAGATATCCATTGACAGATGAATGGATAAAGAAGATGTGGTACATATATACAATGGAATATTACTCAGCCATCAAAAAGAATGTAATCTTGCCATTTGCAATGACATGGATGGAGCTAGAGGGTATTATGCTAAGCGAAATAAGCCAATCAGAGAAAGACAATTATATGATCTCACTGATATGCGGAATTTAAGAAACAAAGCAGATGGACATAGGGGAAGGGAAGGAAAAATAAGATGAAAACAGAGAGCGAGGTTTTTAACTGTAACCAACTGTTGGTGTTGTTAAACTTAAACTGCAAATGCTTCTGGCCTCAGAAATCTGAATTTCTTGAAAAAATGCACCATATAAAGGTAAAGTATTCATGACAGAACAAGTAAATGTGTGTTTAATGTATTCATTTTGGGGGAAGTGATCGCAAGTACCTCTGAATTACATTTTATTTTGAGATTTAAAAAACCAGGTCCATTCAAGTGGACTAAAATCGAATACAATTCTTAGATCGCAAATGCTTTCTAGCACCTGGTATTAGCATAGTAACTAGCCCAAAGTAAATGCCTGGTGAATTCTTGTTGAATTAATTATTTGCTTGTAACAATTTGTGGAACTGATGTTTTATTTTTTATGTTTTTAAAAAGTATTCTGCATCTGGTTCTACTTCTGGCAATGGAAGAGTAATTGTATAAGGCTAACTCTTACAGATAATGATTATGAGTTCACAACAAAACATAAAAAACAACTATTTGAAGGTAACCATAAGCAGACAAATCAGAAGGAAAATGACCCTTGAAAGAAAAAGACTGCATTGGTTGAGGTTTGTGTCTATATGGTTTTTTGCCTGAAGGTATTTCCTAGTCTAATAGCTGAGATAGCTAGAACTCAAGTGGAAAGCTACAGTGAAATAGGTTTGAGGAATAGGACAGAATTCAGGGCTTCTGGAGAGACTGGAAAGTGAGAAGGAACATTACAGAAAGAAGCAAACCACAGAAGGGGGAACCCCAAAATCTGCATATAAATACTGACAAGTCCTTGATTGATCCCTGAACTACAAATCTATAATCACAGACTCTGGCAGAAAGGAGCCTAGCAGAAAACAAACAGCTAAGAAACTGAAAGAAATAAGCAGTCTTCAACTGCTGTCCACCATAACAGATGGAGTTTGAGTCCTGCCAAATTGCCTGCTAGAACAAAAACAACACTTTTCAGAGGAAGAAAACAGAATCTAGAATCTCTGTACCGTATCACCCACAATGTCTAAAATACAATAAAATAATTACAGGAATGAGAAGAACAGGAAACTGAGATCCATAGTCAAGAGAAGAAATGGGAATCGAGCCCCGCATCGGGCTCCCTGCTCGGCGGGAAGCCTGCTTCTCCCTCTCCCACTCCCCCCTGCTTGTGTTCCCTCTCGCTGTGTCTCTCTCTGTCAAATAAAGAAATAAAATCTTAAAAAAAAAAAGAGAGAGAGAGAAGAAATGGGACAATGTAGTCCACAGTCAAGACTATATTGACATAGTCAATATAAACTGGCTCCAAGACAACCCAGATGTTGAATTAGCAGACAAGGACTTTAAAGTAGCTATTCAAATATGTTTAGATAAATGAAGTTGAAAGGCTTTATCAGTAGCAGATTTGCTGTACAAGAAATACTAAAGGAAGTTCTTTGGGCAAAAGAGAAATGATAGCAGATAGAAACTCAAATCTAAGCAAACTCTAGATATAATGAATGAATAGTTGGGGAGACGCAATGATAGTGCTTTTACCAAGTGAAGATAAAGAATATATAGAAGTTTCTTGTGCTATTATAACTTTTCTATAAGTTTGAGGGGTTTTTTAATTATAGAAAAAATATTTGTAAATC